AAAAAAAAAAAAAAAAAAAAAAAAAATCCCGGCCCGGGATTTGAGCGGCCCCCTCACCTTTGAAGCGCTGGCTCGCCTCGCCGGCCGCGTCCCCGCGGCAGCGCCTGGCTCTGTCCCGCAGCGCGGGGCCCAACGCCCCGCGGGGGATGCGCCGGGAGGCCATTTTACACCCCGCGGCCGGGCCGCAGCGGGGCCCGCCGCTCCTCAGGGCCGCTCCCGCCGGCCCCTCGGTGTCCTCGGCAGCAGCAGCAGCAGGAGGAGGAGGAGGAGGAGGAGCCGGAGCCGCCGGAGGAGCCGCCGCGGAGCCGCCCCGAGCAGCGGGAGCCGCAGCCCCGGCCCAGCCCGCCCTCAGCGAGGCGGCCCCGCCCGCCACACCGGGAGAGGACGGGGGGGGAAACGGGAACGGGGGGGGGGGGGATCCGCACTGCGCGTGCGCGGCCCCGAATCCGGTGAATGCTTTTTTTTAGGGTGGAAAGAAAGGTTAAAAAAAAAAACCAAAAAAACCAAACCCCAAAAAATAGCTGTTTAATAGGACGTCTGAGGCGCAGAGAGGAGAGGTTTACATAGTACTGTTTAATTCCATGGTGTCATCTGTAGTATAATATATCTATATATGATGATGATGATGATGATGATGATGATGATGAATATATCTATATAACGTTATTGGTAACTATGATATGGTAACGGTACTACTACGAATAATAACAACAAGAGCAATGATATAGGTAAATTATAAAAAGGTCATAGATAATAGTAGGCCATAGATATAGTATGATCTAAAATACTATGGTATAGTATTATCTAACTCTTATGGTATCATCGATACTATGGTATAAATATAGATTATTACTGATAATATAGATAACAGAATACTTTAGATAATATAATAATTATATAAATAATACGGATAACCTATAAGGGTATAAATAATGCCATAATGGACCGTTGTCTAATTTTTGTAGCATCATCTATGCTATAGTTTAGATATATAACATAGATAACATAAAAATGATTATGATAATAATAGAACCTGTAACAATATTATTGATAATGCTATAGTACAGTATTGTCTAATTCTTACAGTATTATCTATATTACAGTACAGACACATGACATTATAGATAAGATAATATTTTAGATAATATAATAAGCCTGACCTCGCCCCCTCCCGCCTCTGGCCACGCCCCCTCCGCGCACTGGCCACGCCCCTCCCTCCGCGCCTGCGCCGCGCGGCGCCGCCTCCTCCCCTGCAGGCGGGCGGTGCGGGCGGAACGCTGCGGGCGCCAGGCGGTTCTGACGGCGCGGTGCCGGTAAGCGGAACGGGCGCGCGGGGCGGGGGAGCGGCCCGCGGCCTCCCGCTCCAGCGGCGCTGGGCCGGTTCGCTCGCTGCCCCGCGGGTGCGCCCCGGCCACGCGTGGGAGAAGAAGGGAGAGCGCCGCGCATGCGCGCTGCCACACCCCGCGCTCTTTTTCGCGGGGTCCGGCGTGAGTTTTGGTCCCCGCGCGTGCGCAGGGGAGGGGCGGGAGGCCTGTACGGCGGCCGAGCGGGGCCGGCCCGCCCTCGCCTTTTGTCCGGCGGGAGCGCGGGTGGGTCGTGAGGGGAGCCGGGGCTGGGGTCGTGCCCCGCGGCTGCCGCAGCACCACCCGCCGCTCTCCGGGCCCTCCCCGCTGCTGGAAACAGCCGGAGGCGTGAGGGACGGGGCTCGGGGCCCTCCGTGTCACGGTGCCCTCCGTGTCACGGTGCCGCCGCAGCGCATCCCCAGCCCGGCCTCCTGAAACGCCTCCTCGTTTCTCTTCGTTGCTGCGGTTTTTTTCTTCCCCTTGTGGAATAAAAAAACCCGTGCCGGTGTATCTGTGGTACGTTCGGCGGGGCGTTCTTGGGGGATTGGGTTCCGCGCTTTTGTTTCGAGGGGAAAACCCGAGTCGCTCGCCTTGTTTCTGGATGGTTTTGCTCCAAAAACTTTTTGTGGGCTCTCTCTCCACCGCAGGACACCGAGGGGGGTTCATCCCGTTGCCGGGAGAAATGGGGTCCAAGCAGATCGCCCAGGAGACGTTTGATGATGCAGTGCAGGAAAACATCACCGAGTTCGAGATGGAGCCGGAGGAGGCTGTGAGAGAAGCGGTGCAGCAGTTCGAGTCCCAAGGTATTTTGCATTCAAGGCCTTACAGGCCCGGGTTTTACATCTGTGAGGGTCTGAGGGAACCTGCTCTCAAAGGCAGATCAGCCACTGTTGGAAAGGAGCCTTTGTGAGGTGAAACAGAGGCGCTGTTAATGCTGACCTGGTTTCATGCAGTAATTATGACTGGGAAACTGCTTTGGAAATTAAACTCCTTTTTTTTTTTTTTTTTT